TTTACTTGTTGTTAGGATGGAGTGGCGACTTCAAAGCTTCTCACATGCTGGACTGTAAACTGGAAGTCCCCGTCTTAGCCATTTGTAAGTATACAGTTAAGTGGTATTAAGTATATTGACATTGTTGTGTAACCATCACTACCATATATCTCCAGAACTCTTTTCATCTTGCAAAGCTGAGACTCTATATCCATTAAACAATAACTTCTCATTCCTTCCTCCTCCCATCCCCTGGCAATCACCAGTCTACTTTCCATCTCTATGAGTTTGACTACTCAAGGTACCTCCCATAAGTAGAATCAGACAGTATTTGTCTTTTTGTGACTGGCTTTTTTCACATTGCATAATGTCCTCAAGGTTTTGGAAAAGTTTGAGAAGGACTGGTGTTAGCCCCTTTTTTTTTTTTTTTTTTTAAATAAAGTCCTGAGCATCCTGAATGTCTGTACTTCAATAGTATTACCTCTTTAAATGGTTGGTAGAATTCACCAATGAAGTCATCAGGTCCAGAACTTTTCTTTATTTGCACATTTTTGATTACTGATTCAATCTCTTTACTAGTTGAAAGTCTCTTCAGATTTTCTAATTTTTCATTATTCTGTCTTGGAAAGTTTTGTGTTTCTGGGAATTTGTAGATTTCATCTAGGTTATCCAATTTGTCGGCGTATAGTGTTCACAGCAATTTCTTATAATATTTTTTATTTATGTAGAATTGGTAGTAATGCCCCCATTTTCATTTCTGATTTGGTAATTTGAGTCATCTCACTTTTTTTCTTAATCAGTTTAGCTAAAGGTTTGTCAATTTTGTAGATCTTTGTGAAGAAACCAACTTTTGGTTTTGTTAATTTTTTGCTGTTGTTTTTTATTATCTTTTATTTATCTCTGCTCTAATCTTATTTCCTTCTGCTAGCTTTGGGTTTAGTTTGTTCTTATTTTTCTAATTCCTCAAGTAGTAAAGTTAGGTTGTTGATTTGTGATTTTTTTTTTTTAATATAAGTGTTTACAAGTGTAACTTGTCCCCTTAACATTGCTTTTGCTGTGTTCAATAAATTTTGATACGTTGTGTTTTCACTTTCACTCATCTCTAAATATTTTCTAATTTCCTTTGTGATTTCTTCTTTGATCCATTGGTTGTTTAAGAGTGTGTTGTCTAATTTACACAAATTTGTAAATTTTCCAGTTTTCCTTTTGTTGTTGACTTCTAACTTCATTTTGATTTGGTTGGAGAGACACTTTGAATGATATCTATCTTAAAAAATGAACTTTGATTCTTACATCATGCCATATACAAATAATATCAAGGTGGATCATAGGCCTAAATGAAAAATTTTGAACTATAAAACTTCTAAAAAATAGTGAAAAAATTTTGTGGCCTTCAGTTGTAGGCAGATGTTTCTAAGTTACAACACCAAAAGCATGACCTATAAAAGAAAATTGATAAATTGGACTCCATTATGGTTCAAACGTCTACTGTATGAAAGTCACTGTTAAGAGAATGAAAAAAAGACACAGACTGGGCTGGCCCGTGGCTCACTCGGTAGAGTGCGGTGCTGATAACACCAAGGCCCCGGGTTCGGATCCCATATAGGGATGGCCGGTTCGCTCACTGGCTGAGCGTGGTGCCGACAACACCAAGTCAAGGGTTAAGATCCCCTTACCGGTCGTCTTTTAAAAAAAAAAAAAAGACACGGACTGGTAGAAAATCTTTGCAAAGCATATATCTGATAGAGGACTTGTATCCAGAATATATAAGAAGACTCTCAAAACTCAATAATAAGAAAACAAACAACTCAATTAAAAATGGGCAAAAGTTTGAATTAGTCATTAGTCATTAACATCATTAGTCATTAGTCATTAGTCTAATGGATCATTAGTCATTAAGTCATTAAGGATATGCAAATTGCGACAATGAGATCCCACTACTGATCTATTAGAATGGCTAAAATTAAAAAGACTGAACATACCAAGGGTTGGTGAGGATGTGAAGGAACTGGAATTCTCATACATTGAGGGTGGAAATGTAAAATGGTACAACCACTTTGAAAAACAGTTTGGCAGTTTCTTAAAAAGTTAAATACATGGGGCCGGCCGGGTGGCGCACTGCTGTAGTGCGCCGCTTGGGAAGTGCGGCGGTGCTCCCGCCGAGGGTTCGGATCCCACATACAGACTGGTTCCCGCTCACTGGCTGAGCGAGGCGCGGGGGCAACACTGAGGGTTGCGATCCCGTTGCTGGTCCCGGCCCGGTACGGGGGCGACACTGAGGGTTGCGATCTGTTGCCGGACACGGAAAAAGACAAAAAGGAAAAAAGAAAAAAAAAAAAAGTTAAATACACATTTACCATATGATCCAGCCATTCCACTTAAGAGAAACAAATGCATGTGTCTACACAATGACTTTTGCAGGAAAGTTCATAGCAAGTTTATTTGTAATAGCTCAAAACTGGAAATAGGACAGATGTACATCAGCATGTTAATGGATAAATAGGCAGTGATATATCCTTACAATGTAATATTATTTAGCCATAAAAAGGAATGAACTTGTTACCTGCAACGACATGGACAAATCTCAAAATAATTATCCTGAGTGAAAAAAGCTAAATAGAAAAAGAATAGTACTTATGATTCCATTTATATAAAACTGTAAAAACTTAAGACTAAATTGTAGTGACAGAAAGCCGATCAGTAGTTGCCTGGGGATGGTGGAGGGGGGTTAAAGAGAAGCAGGAAGGAGAGATTTCAAAGGGGCATGAGGAAACTTTTGGGGATGATAGGTATTTTCATTGTCTTCATTGTGGTGATGTTTTCACAGGCATATACACATGTCAAAACTTATCAAATTGTATATTTTAAATATGTGTAGTTCATTATACCTTAATAAAGCTGTTGAATAATATAAGAAAATTTTTTACATCTTAAAAAAGTATGTAAAGATCATGGACTATTTCAGGTAGAAAGGAACCTTAGAAAAGAAACTCAAACCTGCAGAGTTTATGAGATTTGTTCAACGTCTTTTTTGGAGCACAGACTAGGGGAACCTTTTTTAATATAGTCTTTCATGTTCCTTTCCTTCAAACTGTCTTTTGTAAATGATCCTTTTTCTGTGATTGGTACTGGCCCGCTTCCTTTCTCATGCTTAAACTCAGATTAATTCTCAGTTCTTTCTGTTTTATCATCAGTATTCAATCAATTTGTATTTAAGTCTTGTCTCTTCCCGTCTTTAAAGGTCTGTCAAAGTTACTCTTTAAAAAAAAAGATCCCCCCTGCCATCATTGCAGAACAGGCCAACAGCCTCATCCTGGGATTAGTGTAATAATTTTCTAATCAATCCCCTTCTTTTAGTCTAATCCACGTTGTAACTATTCTCAGATTGACAGTTTAGGAAATAATTTTGTGCTTTACATTCTTCTCCTGGCCACTCACATTAGCATTATTAAGCATTTACTATGTGTATGGAACTGTGAAGGACTAGGAAAATGGGAAGCTGAAATAGAATGATTCAAATAACTTTTTTTTTTTTTTTTTTTTTTTTAGTTTGAGATGGTTTTTTGGGGCAGCTGGTTGGTGTGGGGATCCAAATCCTTGAACTTGGTGTTGTCAACACTGTTCTAAACAACTGAGCTAACCAATCAGTCAGGATTCAAATAACTTATGAGGAGGTGTAGTTTAAATAAAAATGTGATTTGTACCTTTAAGTAACTTACTGTTTAGTTGAAGAGACTACATAAACACTTGAGAAATTTAACTAATAGTAAAATAGTAATATATTTTTTCCTTTTTTTTCCCCTCCAGGTCCCTGTTGCATGTAAATCTTGTCCTTGTGGTTACATATTTATTAATAGGAAATTTCTAAAAATAAAACACTCAGAGAAATCACCACCTTTTACAGGTAATTGTGAGAATTTACCAACTTTTCACCTTTTTTGGTTATTATTGTATAAATTTAAAATTAGTTTTTGTGAATTAAAAGCTTTTGCAGGTAAGGTTAAAATGTTAAAATATATTGAAATATATCATTGGTTTTTATTAGATACAATAAGTCAGTTTATGACATTGGTTTGTTCTTTATCCAATTTAAGTGTTAACTTCTTCTTTTTTTTTTTTTTTAAAAGATGACCGGTAAGGGGATCTTAACCCTTGACTTGGTTTTGTCAGCACCACGCTCAGCCAGTGAGCGAACCGGCCATCCCTATATGGGATCCGAACCCGCGGCCTTGGTGTTATCAGCACCGCACTCTCCCGAGTGAGCCACGGGCTGGCCCCTAAGTGTTAACTTCTTCACAATACTGATAAAGCCTGTAACAAATTTAATGAGAAATTTTAATTTGAAAATGTTAACTGTGTAAGAAAAGGAACCTTGGTTTTAGTATTAATATAATTTTGTAAAGTACCGATTATTTTGTTTAATTCACTTATTTAGACTATCTGAAAAATTGCTGATTATAATTTTGTTTGAGCTTGTAGCTTTCTTTTTAATGTTGACAACTCCAGATTTGTTTAATAAATGTGTACAGAGAAGGTGGATTTTTGTTACTCTTATTTTTTTCATGTGATAAAATCAGACTTTATAATAATGGTGAACCCAAAATAGGAGTATATTTATTACAGACATTATTGAGTGCCTAACATATGCCAGGTACTGTATTTCTTGGGCATACAGCAGTAAATCTACTAGCAAGATTAGGGTCATTGCTATCATGGAGCTTATATTCTAGTGAGGGGAGATATACATATAGAACATACAGGGAAAATAGCAGCTAGTAATAAGTGCTGGGTGGGGAATTAGAATAGGGTACTCTACTTGAGATTGACTTGAAGGCTACTTTTTTTTTTTTTTTCCTTTTTGTCTTTTTTCATGACCAGCAATGGATCGCAACCCTCAGTGTCGCGCCCGTACCGGACCGGGACCAGCAAGGGGATCGCAACCCTCGGTGTTGCACCCACACCTCACTCAGCCAGTGAGCGGGAACCAGTCTGTATGTGGGATCCGAACCCTCGGCGGGAGCACCGCCGCGCTCCCAAGCGGCGCACTCTCCAGTTCGCCACCGGGCCGGCCCTGGAAGGCTACTTTTGATTGAATGATCAGAGAATGCCTCTCTGAGGAGGTGACCTTTTAGCTAATGACTGGATATAGATAGAAGGGCTAGACATATGAAACCAGGGAAAGCAAATTCTAGGCAGAAGGAAAAGCCAAGGTGAAAGTTCTAAGGCTGGATTTATTCTAGGAATGCAAGGTTGATACAACATTAGGAAATCCATTCAGATCGTATGCCATATTACTCTAAGGGGAAAAATAATCATAGGATTATCTTCATAGATGCTGAGAAAGTCTTTGACAAAATTCAGTACCTATTCATGATAGACACTCAAGAAAATAGAAATTGAAGAATACTTTTGAACCTGATAAAATAAAGTTCAGTGTCAAGGTTAGTATCTTATTTAAATGGGCAACACTATGCATTTTCACTAATATCAGAAACAAGGCAAGCATCCCCACTGTCTCTACTACTGTTCAGCATAGTTTTATAGGTAAATTAGCTAATGCAGTTAGATAAGAGAAATCAATAAGAGGCATAAGAATGGATAATGAAGTAAAACTATATCTGTTTGCAGAACATAAGATCATAACATACCTGGATCCCAGAGAATCAGTAATAAAACTATTTCAAAAGTAAGAGAATTCAGTGTAGTGGCAGGATTTTAAGTTAACATACAGAAATCAGCATTCATATACACAAACCATAAACAGAAAACATAATGTTAGAGAGAACTCCATTTACAATAGCAACATAGAAGATTAAATGCTTAGGAATAAATTTACTAAGAAACATGCAAAAACCTATGCAAGGAAAATTGAAAACACTCCTGAAAAACACTAAAGCAGATTTAATCAAATGGAAGAAGATCCCTTGAACAGGAAGCTGATCTATAAAATGTAATCATAATAAAAATATCAAGTTATTTTGTGGATTTAGACAAACTGATTCTGAAATCTATATGGAAAAACAAACATGCAAAAATAGGAAAATGGTTAGTTGATTTTTTTTATTTTTTAAATTAATATTATTATTTATTTACCTTCTATGAAGTTGTTGCAGAGCAGTTGGGAGGGAGGGGGAGATGGGGAAGGAGAAGGAAATGGGATGGAAGGAGGAGGAAGGAGGGATGGGACTGAGGCCTGTGATACCCCCCTCATTCCCACAGGAGAGACCAGGGGGCTTCCAGTGGTGGCTTGGTCTTTGCTGGGCTGGGTGCAGATGTCAAGGAGGTGTGGCAAAAACCCTTGCCCCCATTACCCCAGCTTGGGAACCTGGGGCCCTTCTTGCTGCTGCACGGTGGTCGTTGCTGGGCTGGTTGAGTGTGTTAGGTGGGCATGGCCGAGGCCTGTGGCCCCCATCCTTGGGACTGGTTGCAGGTGTCTGGGGGCACGGCTGAGGCCGCCAGCCCTCCCCGCTTTCTGGCGTGGTAGCCCAGGGGACTTCCAGTCCTTCTAGGTGTTCTTTGGTGAAAAGAGACCTTTACTAGTTAATATCAAACTTTGTCTTTGGTTGTGGGTATTTTGTGTTTTCTTTCAGTTCTGTGTTGGATTATTTGCTGTTCCCAGCACTTAAACTCTGCCCTGGAACTAATTTGCTGTCCTTTGCTTACTTCTAAAATGAGGGAACTTTCTGTGGGGACCAGTGCTTGAACTCTGTGGTTGAGCTAAATTGCTGCTTTGCTGCTGATTCCCTAAGGAAGGCTTTTTGTGCAGCTCAGGTTGCTGACTTTATAGTTACTTCTGGGTCTAGTAAGATCTGGTACACCTGGGTTATGTAGAAACTCCAGTCTGGTCCTGAGTCTTTTCATCAAACTGCACCCCATGTTATTCTGTATTCCTGACCAGTCTCCTCTGAGTGGTCCTACGCTGATTGGGGAGCAGATTAGCCATCCTTGCTGTACCCCAGTGGCCCATCTCCCCTACTGCTCATGCTCCAAACGCTTTCCATGGGTTGGGCCATGCTCCAGTCCCTTGCGATGATTCACCGGCCTCTGAGTGGCTCCTTTTTTTCAGTTGTTGTGGCTCCTCGCTCCTATGTGGGTCCATGGGAACCCTCTTTTCCCCTGCTGCCTCCAAGCAACTTCATCCAAAGGGCACAGCTGCAGCTTTTGCAAGTCTTGCTCCATGCGCTCAGCAGCACCAGCCTGGAAGTAGCTGGGATTCAAAATGGTCGGAGTGGTTTTTTCTTTCTGTCATTGTGGCTTCTCCTGCCTTCGTGCACTCTGTAGGTCTCTCTTCCTCTTCCCGTGAGCTCTAGTGGCCCCAGCTTGGCTGTTGTTGCTTTTTTATAGTCATAAATTGGTTGATTTGTGGGCGAGAGTGACGCTGGTGACTGTCTATTCTGCCATCTTGACCCTTAATCTAGTTGACTTTCAATAAGAGTGCCAAGGAAGTTAAATGGAGACCAGTTTTTACATCTAATGGTGTTGGGATACCATGCTAGATAACCACATGTGAAAGAATGAAATTGGGATCCTATCTCAAACCATACAGAAAAATTTACTCAAAATAGTTTATAGACCTAGATGTAGGAGCTGAAACTATGACACTCTTAGAAGAAGACATAGCAGTAAATCTTTTGATCTTGGGTTAGGAGTAGTTTCTTAAATATGACACCAAAAGCACAATTGACAAAAGAAAAAATAGATTAATTGGACTGCGTCAAAATCTAAAATGTTTGTTATAAGTGAAGGTGAAAAGACAGAATGGGAAAAAATATTTTTCACCACATATCTGATAAGGGGTTTGTATCAGGATTTATAAAGAACACTTACATTTCAATAATAAAAAGAGAAATAACCCAATTTGAAAACAGGCAAAGGATTCTGAATAAATATTTGTCCAATGAAGATGTACAAAAAAAGTACATGAAAAGATGCTCAACATTATTAGTCATTAGGAAATGCAAGTCAAAACCACAGTGAAATACCACTTCACACTCACTAAGATGACATATTGAAAAAGACAGAAAGTAACAAGTGTTGGTGAAGATGTGGAAAAATTGGGACACCTGGTGGGAATGTAAAATGGAGCAGCTATTTTGAAAAATAGTCTTGCAGTCTCTCAAAAAGTTAAATGTCGAGTTCCCATATGGCCTAGCAATTCTGCTCCTAGGTATCTATCCAAAAGAATTGAAAGCAGGGACTTGAACAGATACTTGTACAGCAGTCTTTATAGTAGCATTATTCATAATAGCCCCAAAATGGAAACATCCCAGATGTCCATCAACTGATGATAAATGATATATATCCATATAATGGAACACTATTTGACAATAAAAAGAAAGGAAGTACTGACACATGCTACAACATGGATGACCCTTGAAAACATGCTGTAAGAAGCCAATCACAAAAGACCACATATTATATGATTCCAATTATATGAAATGTCCACACAAGCAAATTTATAGAGATAGAAAATAGATTAATGGTTTAGGACTGGGAAAGGGGTAGGGAGTGTGTGGGGAATGACTGCTAATGGGTTCAGACTTTCTTTGGGGGTGATAAAATGTTTTAAAATTAGATTCACAACCTTGTGAATACACTAAAACTATTGAATTGTGTACTTTAAATGGGTGAATTGTATGGTATATGAATTATATCACAATAAAGCTGTTAAAAAAAAAAATAGCCAGGAAAACAAGAAGGAAAGCTATGAGGGCTGACTAGCCCTACCGGTCATTAAAATATACTATAAAAGCCTCTATAATGAAAACATTGTGGCATTGGCATATGAATAGACACAGACCAGTGGAAAAGAATGGAAAGTACAGAATGAGTATGACAGAGGTGGGATTTCACATCACTAGGGTAAAGATGAACCTTTTCTTTTTCTTCTTTTTTCTTATTGTGGTAATATATACATAACACAATATTTATCATTTAAGCCATTTGAAAGTATACAATTCAGTGGCATTAAATATATTTTCAGTGCTGTGAACCTGTCACTACTATCTATACCCAAATCTTTTTCATCTTCCCTGATATAAACTCTGTACTCAGTAAACAGTCTCCCCCTTCTTCCAGCTCCTGGTAATTTCTGTTCTCCTTTCAGTCTCTGTGAATTTGCCTATTCTAGGTACCTCATATAAATTGAATCATACTTGTCATTTTGTGTCTGGCTTATTTCACTATGCATGTTTCCAAGTTTCATCCATATATCAAATTTCATTACTTTTTATGACTGAATAATATTCCATTGTATGTATAAACTATATTTTGTCTGTCCATTCATCTGTTCATGGACACTTGGGTTGTTTCCACCGTAGAGCTATTATGAATAATGCTGCTACTAGGAATGTTGGTGTACAAGTATCTGTTTGAGTACTTGCTTTCAATTTTTTGGATATATACCTAGGAGTGGAATTGCTAGGTCATATAGTAATTCTATGTTCAACTTTTCGAGGAACTTCCAAACTGTTTTCCCACAGTGGCTGCACCACTTTACATGTCCACAAGCAATGTACAAGGGTTCCAGTTTTTCCATATCCTCACCACTATTGTTGTTTTCCATTTAAAAAACTATAGTCATCCTAGTAGGTGTAAAGTGATACATTGTTGGATTTTGATTTACATTTTCCTAATGACTAATGAGGTTGAGCATCTTTTCATGCTCAGCATTGTGTCTAATTGCAAACTATTGGAAACAACCTAAATGCCCATAGCTAAGTGATTGATTAAATTATGGGACATATGTGCAACGGAGTAATGGAGCTGTAAAAAAATGAATGAAGGACTATTTTTGTCAACTGATATGGAATGTTTTCCAGGATGTACTGTTAAGTGAAAAAAGCAAATCACAAGAGTATCTATAGTAAGATACATCTTTTATGCAAGAAAGAAGAGGATATAAGATAATACATGTAAGATATAAGACAGTACGCATGTATCCGCTCATTTGTGTAAAATCAATATAGAGAGAGCATCATGCTGATAAACACCATTGTCAAGGGTTCAGATCCCTGTACCGTCTAGCCGCCAAAAAAAAAAAAAAAAAAAAAAGTCAATATGTGGAGGATAAACCAGAAACTAAAGTGATTGGTAACCCATAGGGGGTAGCTGGGAATGGGATGCAAAGAAGGGGGGAATGGAAACTGGGTTGCAGGAATGAGGAAAGAGTGACACTGAAGGGAATGGGAAGAAAAAAACTAACCTAAGTAACTTTGGAAACACCATCTTGACTGGATACTGTAATGTTAGAGACAAAAAGAACTGTATGTAAATGCTGTAGTATAGTCAATAAACGTATTTCTTTTAGGGGAATGGATAAGTGATTCTTTTTTTTTTTTTTTTTCCAATGGCTGGCTGGTACAGGTTATCAGCACCACGCTCTAACCAACTGGATTAGCAATTCTGAAACTACTTTATATGTGTACCAAATTGCATAAATAGGTAAATATGTTTTAGATAGTAAGAACTGGATTTCTCACAAGTGAGGAAAGAGGAGGCAAACATAAACTCTGTTGGGGTGGATTGGAATCTGAGATAATCAGTATATGTGTGGGTTAATATTCATACATATATTTCCTAGCTCTGTCCACTGAGGAACTAGAAGCGATAGTATCCCTGTAGTAATGAAGAAACCTAGCATTCATATTTTTATTTCTAAATATAATTCTCCAATAAAAGGATGCAGAGCTCTTTGGAGAAGTGGTTGATTTCAGGACTGGGTTAGGCAAAACGCTAAAGGAACCTGGAACATCTTGAGGTGCCAGAAAATAATGAAATGCTTAAAAAAAGGGGAGTTATTGAAAGAATATGGGAGGCAACCTGAAGGAGCTCCTAATAGTGAAAGCTGGAACTATTTGAGCAAAATATATAATGATATCATTGGATTATAATCCATAGAATAAAGTAAATATCCATGAGTCCATACTGATATAAACAAACAAGGAACAAGGGACATTTCTTTCTTATAGTAGAATTTCAATAAATAAACGTGGAAGGAATGAGGAAAATAAAAAATCAGCATTAACAACACAGTAGTAATGGTTGCAAACAAGATCCACTGTTGGATGGTAAAATTAGTGGGTGAAAGTTTGAGGAGAAACAAAATTTGTATAGTCTCCAAGTATCTCTCCCAAGATCTTCATTAACCACAAAAGAGAAATTTTATAGTGATGAAACCTGCCAGAAATTACCTTAACCAAATGATGAAGGTCAGCATCACAATAATAAGGCATTCTGACATCATGAACCCCCTGATGTGATCTACTGATAAATTTAAATAATTTCTCTGTATTCTAGCCAAAAATGCAGAACTTTAGTCCAATCCTCAGAAAACATCAGCAAAATCCAAATGAGATACATTTGACAAAATAACTGATGAGTTCTCTTCAAAAGAGTCAAGGTCAAAAGACAAGGAAAGTCTGAGGAACTGTCGAAGGAGAAAAGACAACTAAATAGCATGTGGGATTTTTTTTTTTTTTTTTTTACAGTGGCTTGTTCTTGCCTGTTAGAGTCTATTTCTAAGTTTTCTCTTTGAATATTTTAAGCGTACTTGTTTTAAAATGTCTGTTTCAGACTATTCTATTATTTTTATGTAGTTCTGGGGTATGACTTCTATTCATGTATCTCTTCACTACTATGACTTTAAGAACCCCCACTTTTTTTTTAACATCTGGAAAATTGTCTCTCATTTTTAGATTCAGCTCTATATTAAAACAAATTTTGTTTTGTTTTTTGGGGGGGGTGGTTTTGTCTTAACTACCATGTTTGTTTGGAGTGGGAGAGGTGGTTTCTTGCATTGATTAAATCTATATTGATGGGAAACCTCTTTCCCCAATTTCTTTTTCATTTAGGAATGACAGGGTAATTGCTTTCCAGTATATCAGGGACTAAAATAGAGCTACTTGCTTCCCTAATATTTATCTTATAGTTGCAATATATATTTTTTGTTTGTTTTTTGGTAACAATATATTATGGTTGAGGTCGGATTTTTTTTCACCCTGCTTTGGTAATGGAAGATTAATTATCAATTTATTTGAAATAGTTTAATCTGGAATTTAACTGAGGACAAAAAGGAACAGAGACCTTTCCTCTTTCCCCTTCACTATCTTGGAGGCAGAAAAGTTGCTGTGGAGGAATATATACCAAAAGGGGTTGGAATTAGAGTTGATGAAAAATAAACCTTCCCCCCTCTTATCCTAAGAATCCTCACCTCAAACTTGACCAGACCAGATTTGAATTCTGCTGCATCACTCTCCTTTTTTTTTTTTTTTTTTTTTTAATCCTTTGGTGGGTTTGGGGAACAAGTTTGTTATAGGTGTAGTTTTAAAAAATACAGTAGGCAGTGGACTCTAGTGCCATTTAAAATATGTGCCTGCCAGGGGGAAAATGCAAACTTGGGCAAACAGTTCTTTCACACTCCTAAAATATGTTATTTTTATTTATCCATACCAAAATTAAGCATGAAGCCCAAAGGAGTAAAACAGAGAGGCAAAAGAAGATAAATTCTACAGTAAATAAGGATTTAGAAAACATAAAGAGGTTGTGAAGTAGTAGTCATTCAGACCATATGAAATAGGAAAGAGGAAGACCTAAAAATGCTTCTGTCAAAAAACGTAAGAAACAGGTATTTTATCAACCTGCTATGGGAGAATTTTTTCCCAAGATTTAAACTGATCTGAGATCTTAATTTGATAGTACTGAAAAAATTGTTTTGGTAGTCATTATATTCTTGGATTCAAAAGCACAACTCATTTTAGTTTGAAAGTATTTTTTTCCATAGTAGATGGTTATAAAATTACTGGAAATTGTATTTTCCTATTGGAGAACCAAAAGGCTTAAAAGTAACATCAACCTGATATAAATGATAGCAACAGAATCCGATGACAAATATGTGTCCTTCAAATGAAATTGCTGATATTTGACCAGTTGAAACTTCCCCAGGGTTGGTAATGTTGATATCAGGTCTCTTTTCAGTTGTGCTGTTTAGTATTCATAATGGTATTATGCTCTGATGATTGAATTTTTATTTTTTATTTTCTCCACAGAAGTGAACAATACCATATCTTTGAAAGATTTGCGAATACTTTTTTTATATGAATTTAAACTGGGACATAGTGCAGCTAAGGCAAGTAGGAACATCAATTTGGTTTTTGGAAAAGGCTCTGTTAGTGAAAGGACTATCCGGTGGTGGTTTGAAAAATTTCATTCTGGGGATCTGAGTCTACAAAATGAGCCTCGAGGGAGACCCAAATCTGTTTTAAATGAAGATCAACTGAGAGCCATGGTGGAAACTAACCCCCAAACAGCAATTCGAGGCCTTGCGGCAGACTTAGGAGTTTCTGCTACAACGATTTCCTGACACCTGGCTGCAATAGGGAAGGTGAAAAAATTGGACAAGTGGGTAGGTACCACTCCAATTGATGGATGATCATAAACTGAGATGGTTAAAATTTGAAAGAGCAGAGACTTATTTTGGAGAGGATCATAAGCTTTGATTTTAAAAAAAAAAAGGGTACCGTATGGTAATTGAAAGTGATCTAATCAATCGTTGGATGTTGGTGAAGTTCTCAAATATTTGTTAAACCATCCTTGCAACCAAAAAAACTTCTGGTTAACCATATGGTGGTCTGCAAAAAGGATATTTCGTTACTGTTTTTTTACCCAGGTTAAAACTAATAGTAGCATCTTATTGTCAAGAAGTTAAATTATGCATCAAAAATTGATCTAAAAATGCATTGGTTAGTAGACATGGACCTTTTTCATGACAACATTCAACCACAGACAATACAAACCACCATAGCAAAGTTAACTGAATTGGTCTAAGAAATTTTGCTTCATCCTTCTTACTCATTGGACTTTTTTCAACAGTTTACCACCCTTTTCATCATTTGGAACTTTCTAAGAAACAGAACATTTCCAATTTGAGAAGCAATAGTTGGAGGGTTTGAATAAATTTTAACAATGCTGAATTTTATAAACATGGTATATATCATTTAATATTTGAGAAAATCTATCATTTGGGGAATTCTTATTTAGGGAAAGTGGTTAATGCTAACAGTGCATATTTTGGTTGAATAAAGTATTTTTCTCAAAAATAAAACATTTTCATTTTGATCTACAAAAAGTCAATTTCACATAGTTCAACCTGATACCTCCCCCCCCCCCCCCCCCCCCCCCCCCCCCCGGCAGAGCATGAAGACTGAAAGGTACCCAAGGTGCTGGAAAACTGCAAGTTGCTCCTGAGTTTTTGGGTTTCACTGGAGAAATATGGAGCATTTCTAGTGTATGTAAGGAGTCAGCCATGCAAAGATCTGGGTAAAGAGGGTTCCAGGGAGATGAGAAGCCTATAAAGTATTTTTTTTTTTTTTTTAAAGATGACTGGTAAGGGGATCTTAACCCTTGACTTGGTGTTGTCAGCACCATGCTCTCCCAGGTGAGCTAACCGGCCATCCCTATATAGGGATCCAAACCCGTGGCCCTGGTGTTACCAGCACCACTCTCTCCCAAGTGAGCCACGGGCCAGCCCTAAAATATTTTTTTGAATAAAGAAATGAAAGCATGTTTCTAACACCGAAAGCCATGCACACAGTAGACATGGTGCAGTGAATGCTTTTGGATGATAATATTCTGTCACACAGAGCCAGTCTTTCATGTGCTTTTCATTTCAATTCTAGATTTTTTTTAAAAATAGGCAGCCTATTAGAGACAATAGTTAGTAGCCTCTTCATGGTTTTATAGCTAGATTACGGTTACTCTTTTTGGCATCCAGGGGTTAAGCTGAGCTAAAGAAACTGAGATGGACTTCTTGCCTCTCTCCTCCTGACAAACTACTACATCTATTCCATGAGGAAGAGCTAAGGAAGCCTTTTAAGGTGAGGGAAGGACATCCTGGAATGGATCTTACCTAGAGAAAGAGAGAGAGGAATGGAGGAAGGGATAGAGTGAAAGTCACCTAAAGTATCCAGTCCATACACTGGTTTAAAATAAAAAAAAAAAATCACCTAAAGTAGAACTGACCATGAGCTTCAGGATCAAGGACCACAGGACACTTTAAAAAAAAAAAAAAAAAAAAAAAAAAAGGTGTCCCTTCTTTTAGGTAGAAGCAGCCCCACACCATGACACAATTTTTGGTGAGCAGAGTGTACACTACTTTCAGCCCTAATTTCCCCCCTTGGCTGGATGCTCTGGTTTAGAGTTACTGCCCATTTACTACTCCATCCTTGAGTTTGTCAAAGAATCTATCCAGTGTTTCAGTGGACTCTTCTTTACTCCGAAGAGAATGAAACCTCTTTGATTTAGCTCAGACTGATTGGGTAACAAAGCTGAGATCAGAGGTGTGGGAAAGACTTTATTTCAAAGGCAGCATAAGGGTGAGGCTAAATGGTCACAGAGCTCAAGAGCAGTGGCTTGGTCAATGTGAAAGAACATGATGTTGTGTAGTTACTTAGTCTCTCTAAAGTAGATGGTTGTTTTATGGCCATCCAAACCTCTCCTTCAGACCCCTTGTCATACTTTAGACAAGATGCTGGCCTTTGGTCTAAAACAATCAGTGGATATCCTTGTCCAGCCCATTAGAGTGGTTTGGGGATGGAAAGGAAACCCAAACAGAAGCAGTGAAACGTGAAGAGAGAGGAAAAGAGCAGATATAGGATGCGTGCTGTCCTAATGATGTAGACCTGAGAGACAAAAATGGGCCCTCTGGTTCCTGTGAACATATGGATCCAGCTCTGCTTGAAACTGGTACTACCGTCAGTGTTTTTTGGCTATGTGAGCCAGTAAAACTCTTTTTTGTTTAAGCCATTTTGAGTTGGGTTTTCTGTTTGGCAAAAGATTGAGTGAAAATCTCCCTGAGCCTTATTTTCCTTAACTGTAAAGTGGGGCTCATGATAATACCACCTTGCAGGATTTGAGAGAAAGAATGACAATATAAAGGACAAAGCACAGAGTAGGTGCCCAACAAGTAGTATTTAATATTATGAAAGGAAAAAGCAAAAGAGGCAAATCAATGTGTGGGACTTCTGGAGGCCCCTCTGAGTTAAGGGCAGGGCAGTGGGCTGATTTCAGTGTTCAGTGAAGGCTGGTCCTAGCTTTGACCATCCAGTTAGTATAAAGGAGGGCTGGCCTTTTGAGTTGCTCTGAGACTAGCTTTTCTCCAGTCAGTGCTTCTACCCAGTGTGCTATTAGCCATGTAGGAGGAAAAGAAAAGCAATCTTTCAGGACAAAGATGACACTTCTCATGTTTTTTGTCTTTAACAATTATTTATTATTATTTTTTAAATCATATACTTCCACTTTGGAAGTATAGAGGGTAAGTTGTGAATGGAATCAACACAAATGACTACATTTTCATCATTGTGATGATTATCTCTCCATTGCCTTAGAAAAGTAGGAACAGAAGCTTTAAATTTATAACTCATTAATTTAGGAACTATATTGGATTTTCAAGAAAATGGAGCAATTTTATATACATAAAGACTTGCCAAGCATTCTCATTCTCCTTTCTCCAAGAAAGAAAAGCTTTAAAAGGCTCCTTGATAGAAACTTTCTTTTCAATGTCAAAATGAAGGAGTGGAGATGAGTTGAGGGCTGCTACATCTCTTTCCCCTAGTCTCCCTGAGGTGACATGGGTCTTAATTGCAAGACAGAACAAAAAGTGGCATTGAATAGCCATTTTGGTTCATCAAGTACTTAATACCCATTATTAAAAAAGCTCTTACCTGGTCTAATTGCATTTCATAAGACTAGAACACCTATAGCCACTTTTTCAACACACATGAAAGATCTTGAGCAAAGTTAGTAGTAGCATCAAAAGCTAGTGAAAAGCTGGAGCCACAGTAGCCTTCTTTCACTTCCTTTTACCTTCACTAGTTTGCCCATGCTCTTCTCTTTGTCTGAATATTCATTTGTTGCCCCTCTTCACCTCCTTAACTGTACCTGTAAGGATACCGTGGGCACTCAAGCGGAGGGGGAGGGGGAAAGCATTCCCTAGCAAT